GGAGGAAATTAAAGACGTGGTTGTGGGACCAGGCCTTTGGGCAATCTGACAACTAGATAAGGACAATCAGACGACTAGGTCTGACAGGACTGATAAAGTGGAATTGGAAATTGGACTATGAGATGGCGAACGCTGACCGTTAATTAGGTGTAAGTGGTTTTTATTGGTTTTATTGTAATGCAGAAACTGTTGCTAACTGTTAATTGCTGCTATATTGTTTTATACTACTGTTATGTGATGCCGGCATCGAATTGTGCCATTGTAAGCCGCCCTGAGTCCCCTTCAGGGTGAGAAGGGCGGGGTAGAAGTAACCATAATAATAATAGGATGTATTTCTGTTCACTGGACCTAATTTGGCACAAATATCGAATACTCTCAAATTTGCTGGTGGGGTTGAAGGGAATTGATTTTGTCATTTGGGAGTTGTAGTTGCTGGGATTTATAGTTCACCTACAATCAAAGAGGGTTTTGATTGACAATGATAGAATTGGGCCAATTGGTGGGCATTCACCTTGAGTTTTGGAGTTGTAGTTCACCGGAGCCCCCGGTGGCGCAGTGGGTTAAACCCCTGTGTCGGCAGGACTGAAGACCGACAGGTCGCAGGTTCAAATCCGGGGAGAGGCGGATGAGCTCCCTCTATCAGCTCCAGCTCTTCATGCGGGGACATGAGAGAAGCCTCCCACAAGGATGATAAAAAACCTCAAATCATCCGGGCGTCCCCTGGGCAATGTCCTTGCAGACGGCCAATTCTCTCACACCAGAAGCGACTTGCAATTTCTCAAGTCACTCCTGGCACAACAAAAAAAAGTTCACCTACATCCAGACAGCACTGAGGACTCAAACAATGATGGATCTGGACCATACTTGGCACGAATACTCAATATGCCCAAATGTGAACACTGGTGGAGTTTGGGGGAAATAGAGCTTGACATTTTGGAGTTGTAATTTCTGGGATTTATAGTTCACCTACAATCAAAGAGCATTTTGAACCCCACTAARGATAGAATTGGGCCAAACTTCCCACACAGAACCCCCATGACCAACAGAAAATATATATATATAGAGAGAGAGAGAGAGACTGGTGATGGATAAGTCTTCCCTCCTCCCACCAGGCTCTCAACAATCATCTCAATATACATACAGAGAGAAGTGAGATTATGTATGTATGTATGTGCTGAGGGGAKAGGTCAGTCGTCCCTTCCACTACAGGCTCTCATCAATCAACTCCACTCTCTTWTATATATATCTATATGTGAGAGATGAGGTTATYTGTGTGTGTGTGTGTGTAGATATATGAGTTGGGTAAATCTTCTCTCCCACCTCAAGGCTCTCATCAATATTTTCTCGGTCTCCATCTATCTAATTGAAGTGAGAATATATATGGGGGGGGGGGGTGATGGGTAAATCTTCCCTCCTCCCATCAGGCTCAAATACAGAGAGAAGTGCTATATTATGGAGGTGATGGGTAAATCTTCCCTTCCACCTCCAGGCTCTCATCAATAATTTCTCAATATCTAATTGTGAGATGGTTGCGCAGCAGGTTAAATTGCTGAGCTGCTGAACTTGCTGACCAAAAGGTTAGAGGTTTAAATCTGGGGAGCAGGGTGAGCACCAGCTGTTAGCCCCAGCTCCTGCCAACCTAGCAGTTCAAAAATATGTAAATTGATTTTAGTTAGTTTAGTTTAGTTACCGTATTTATGTTTTGCCCTTCTCACCCTGCAGGGGACTCAGGGTGGATTACAATGCACATATACATGGCAAACATTCAATGCTATAGACCTACAACGTATATAGACAGACACAGAGGCACTTTCCGGCTTTATGAAGGTATGCTCAATTCTGGCCACAGGGGGAGCTGTCACTCCACCGTCCACTTGTGACACCGTGGCCTTGATGGAGTACGTCCTCATTCTTATGCACGCTGCTGGAAGGTTTTTTTTATGGTGTCATAAATTAGTTAAATTAGCTTCCTTGCATAAAGTGGTACCTAAGTTTCCTACTTGACAGATGCAACTGTCTTTCGGGCTGCATAGGTCAACAGCAAGCTAGACTACTAATGGTCGGGAGCTTACTCTGACCTGGGCTGGCTTCAAACTCATGACCTCTCAGTCAGTAGTGATTTTCATGCAGTTGGCTACTACCTAGCTACGCCACCGCCCGGTCCACAAATGTGAATATATCAATAGGTACTGCTTCTGCGGGAAGATAATGACGCTTCATGCATTCATGCCGGCCCACATGACATTGGAGACATCTACGGACAATGGCAGCTCTTTGGCTTATAAATGGAGGTGAGCACCATCCCTCAGAGCCGGACACGACTAGACTTAATGTCAGGGGTAACTGTTACTTTATATAATTGGAGAGAGATTATATATGTAGAGAGAGATAAAGGTGATGGGTAAATATTTCCTCCCACCATCAGGCTTTTACCAATCATCTCTATCCATTTGAGATGAGATTATACATATTCCATCCTCGGCCTGGTTCTGTTCAACCTCTTTATTAATGAGTGAGGTGAAGGGTTAGGAGGCATGATCAGCCGTGGAACACTCTGCCCCTGACTGGTGGAGGCTGCTTCTTTGGAGGCTTTTAAGCAGAGTCTTGACCCCAGATTTTCCTGCTATTTGGCAGGGGGTTAGACTGGATGGCCCACGAGGTCTCTTCTAACTCTATGATTCTATATATATGCCATCAGGCTTTTATCAGTCACCTCTATCTATATGACATAAGATTATATTTACAGTATATGTAGGTGATGGGTAAATCTTCCTTACCACCATCATGCTCTTATCAGTCACCTCTATCTATCTGATATACGATTATATGTACAGTATATGGAAGTGATGAGGAAATCTTTCCTCCCACCATTATGCTCTTATCAATCATCTCAATAGATATATGTATAGAGGGGGATGATTTGTAAATCTTCCTTCCCCACCCCCTTGAGTTACCTTTTCCAATCCCAGTTTAACCTCTATATACATATTTTGAGATGACTGATTAGAGCCTGGAAGGAGGTGGTGATGATGGAGGTTTTACCTATCCTAACACCAGGCTCATGCTGATATGTATATTTGAGGTAATGAGAGCCGGAGGGGAGAGGGGGGAGAGTTACCTGTCCCAATCCTAGGTTCATCTGTGTGTGTGTTTATATGTGTGTGTTTGTATTGATGAGTTCCTGAAGTTGGGGATGGAGTATTTATTTGTCCCAAGTCCGGATACACCTCCTCATCTCAACTCCCACAGGTCCTGAGTAATCCAGGCCCCATTTATGCCCTTCAGTTAGTGCGATTAGTGAGGTCCTTTGTAGAAACTGCATGATTTGGAGGGTCACAGGAGACCTGTGCCTGCACTTGAGGACCCTGAGAGCAAAGGCTCTGTGTGAAAGTCCTGAAGGTAAGTGGGAGTAGCCTTTATGGGAAGCAGCATAAACAAGAAGAGAAACTGTTAAACTACCATTCTCACTGTTATCTTAGAAGACCCATTTGCCACCTTCTAGTTGGGATGGGAAACAGCATTGCCACCTGCCAGCATTTGCAATACAAAATTGACATCTAGTCTCTGTATAAGATTCTTCTCCTAGATATAAACTAGGTGTGTTATCCAATTAAATTATGGCCAGTTACCTGTATCCAAATATGAATGCAATGAGTAGCCTAAGTAGCCTAAGTAATGACAGTTTTGAGACATTTTTTCTCCTGGTCTGAGTCAATAGAGTAATACAGTGCACCCCTGCCTCCTCCCCCCCCCCCCAAAGCAAATGCAGTACAAGGTGCAGCACCAGAACTCTGATGGCTAGACCTCACTTTTTGTGGTGTCCCGTTCTGGGCACCACAATTTAATAAAGGTTTGACAAACTGGGATGTCTTCAGAGGAGGGTAACAGAGATGTCAAATGATCTAAAAAACTAAGTCTGATAAATAGGTAAGGGAGTTGGTCTAGTTGAACAAACAAAGATTGAGAAGTGATGTGCTTGTCAGTTTAAAGCAGGTATGGGTAAACTTCACGCCTCCAGGTGTTTTGGACTACCAGCTATTAGGAATTGTGGCAGTTGAAGTCCAAAATACCTGGAGGGCCAAAGTTTGCCCATCGCTTTTTAAACGTATTTGAAAAGCTGTCTTAGGAAATATTTGTGTTCATGTGTTCCAGAGGTGAGGGCCTAAAGCAATGGATTCAGATTATAAGTATTTTGAATAAACCATTCGCAAGAATTATTTGACATTAGGACCTGTTTCAGTGTGACCTTCGACTCAGAGGAGGGTAATGGCAAACCTCTTCTGAACAGCTTTTCATAATAAACCTTCATGACAGGGATCCTTTTGGTTTGCCCTAAGTTAAAAGTTCCTAAAAGGCACACAGCCACAAAGAGCTGTTTGACAGTGGTTGGTTTTTAAACGGATCTGATGGCAGTATGTTAGGGATAAGCTAGCTATACATTTCTTATATTAACAGGAAGATGGGCTAGATAACCTTTGGGATCCCTTCGGTTCTGCAATTTATATTTGCAGTTTGTTTACAAAAAAGTACCAAATTAAAAAAAATTGTATAGTAGCACATTGTTGGCTAGGAGCAGAATATGTACAAAATAAAACTATCAAAATGTATCCAGTCACTTCAAGACAGGGCTTGGAATACTGCATTTTATAGCAAAAGAATGCATATCTTCTGCACTTTTTTTCAATTCCTGTAACATTTGGTCAGATAAATTTCATACCTTTTGGAAATATGCTCCACATTTCCCTACAGGTGGAATTGCACTGAGTCTATCTGTTTGATATGCAGACTACACAGAGAAACTGTAATTGATAGTATTTTAATTGGAAAATGTCTTGCACTAACTTTAAAAATATGTGCCCCTCAAGTGCAGCAGACAATAGCATGTTTGCTGTGCTTTGTACTTAGACTTGGTGATAGCAAGATATACTTAAAAGATATTCCTTTATAAAATAAATATGTTTTCAAATTCTTCCTGCTTTCTTCAGTTTTTAGAAAAACCTCTAGAAAAATTCTCTTCTGTGTCAATCAATATACTAACAGTTTGAATGCCAAATTTTAATATAGTTATTGTTCGACTAATCATAGTATCTTAAATTTTTCTTTTCCCTTATAGTCTAATAAGAGCTATGAGTACAGGGCCAAAATAGACCCAAATGTAGGCTGGCTTCTGCACTGCAGTGCATGGTAGGAAGCACAGGTAGTGGCCCCAGGAAAGGACTTTTAATTCCTTATCAGGATACCCTATTTACTGAAAGTGTGAAGCCATTCTTGTAGACTGAACAGTTGATGAGGATGTGCTGATTTGATTCTCATTTCCATGTACCTCTTGAATTGTCAGTGAAGCAGCATAGGCACTTAGAACAATGTGGAATCCACTTCTCATAATTATGTGCAGTACAGGAATCACAAGTGTATGGTTTGAATACCAAAGGTATGCCCTGAAGAGACTGTAACAAAAATATTCTGCACTTGTACATAACTAATAGTTTGGGGCAACACAAGAAGTAAGAAAATCCCAGGAAGACTGGTTTGTAGGAGGAAAGATCGGTAGTGGACTACTGTTGATTTGGAAGCTCCATTCTCTCTTGGTTAATGATATAGATGCCTTAAGGATCCCAATTATGTATATGTATTTATTATACATATGTAGTTTTAAGACCAGTACTTCAGTCCTTCTTTAAATAGACAGGTGTACTTGTTGTCATTCAGTTCTGGCTGACAGTAGATAAATTTTGTATGCTCTGGGTGTTAGATTGTGCAGCAAGAGGGATGGAAAGCAGTAAATTGGGGTTGCAGTAGATTAGACAATGCTGCTGAGAGATGGCTGTGCTGCAGTTGCTGCTTCATAATGCTTGTCACTACAAACAAACTGCTTGTCTTTCTGTCTCTTTTTCTGTCCCCCTTCAATGTTGGAGACCTCTTCCTCCTTCTTTAATAAACTCTCTGCCTTGCTTTTCCTGGGCTACTGCTTTGTGGATGTTGACGGCTTCTTGTTGTGACAGGAGAATGTGTGTGTGTCCTGGGCCCAGGCGGATTGGTATGTACCTTTTGTGCTCCTATTTTTCTGAGAAACAGAAATTGTGGGGAGGAGAGTGGGTTAATGTGGGTGTGCACCAAGTAAATGTCATTTATGTAATATCACTGATTGGTGGATATGCCACTTTAAACTCATGATGAGTGTGTTGCCTCCTGTCTGGCTAATTCATACTCTGCATGAATAGACTTGGTTGGAATTTGAATCTGATAAAGATGGGTTTGAGATTTAAAAGAATAAAGACATAAGCATAATTGTGTTTCTTCTCTAGAATAACTTAATTCATATTTATTCAGGATATTGAGGTGGTCAAATAAGCTAGTTCCCCTATGTACCTGGTTACAAACATTCTATTTGGAATGTAAACTTTGAAGAGGTCGGGTTTTTAAAGCTAGAATGCTAGGCATAAAAATCTATAATATGCGGAATAGTTCTCCTAAATCAGGCTTCAAACCTTTTTACTGGAAAGTTGTCTTCATGTTTACAATTGAACATAGCAATTGTCATGTAGTCCATAAACATACTTGCTTAAAACAGGCATTCTCAGTTGCATTACTCCTCGATTTGAAATTGTGTATAGTAAAACATACACAAGCAAGCAGAGGCCTTTGTTAAATGAATACTCAGATTCTTAAGTCTGCAGTTGCTAATTGGATCTTCGTTTGCATGGTTTATTTTAATGACTGCTGAGTTAGCTAAATTAGCTGCTCTTTCAATGTCCTTAGTAAATTGTCACACATTTTCACAATCCTTAGCAGTAAGCAGAATGGATGCTTGTCACTAGCCAGGAGTAAGAACCTGACGATCTGACACTGATGCTGGCTGAGTGTCATTCCCACTTGTGGGGCTATTGGCCATGGTGGCCATGACATTTATATCTTTGAGCACTTCACATTCGGAAAACATCTGGTGAAAAGGAATCTTCGTGGGCAGTGGAAAGCTGGATAAGATCAGAGGGAATAGAAAGAAGCTGAGTCTGGACAGCTGTTAATACTTGGTCTGAAATAGGCAGAATTCCATCTTACAGGCACTATTAAAACTAGAGATACAGATTAGTGGGATGCAGTCTGAATATTTTGTAAAGAAGCAAATTGTTTCTGCACTTCTTCCACCTGCTTTTATGCTGAATTGTAAAACAATTCCATAAGCTGCTAAATGCTGTGCAAAAAAATTAAAATAGAAATACTGAAGCCATCTTTTGTGTGTCTTTTTAAAAAAATACACATTGGCGAAATGAACAGTTCAGCACTAGGGTTGCTTCAAAACAAAACAAAAAATAATAGGTAAATGTTTCTGTTCTTTGAGAAAGAAAAAAAAGTTGAATTGATTTGTCCCTTAACATGGTTTTTTTTTAATGTATGGGGGTGGTTAGATGTGGCTAATACAATTTAAAAATAACTAGTCTATGAAGCTCATGCAGAAAAGGGTAGGATGCTTCTGGGAATTTTGGTAGAATATGGGAACAAGAACTGATGCAGAGGTGTCCCAGAACATCTTAGAGGATGAGGACAAAGAAATAAAACTTTATTTTTTTATCAGTGTGCCCCCTAAAACCTGTTGCTTCTAGTTAAAATATTGGAATAAGATTCATTAGAAAAAATGATCCTGGGATGAATAATAATAATATAACTTTATATAATTATATTATTATAATATTATAACTGAGTCCCTGAGGGCGGTTTACACATAGAAAAGGCAAGCATTCAATGCCCTACGTAGATACAAACATCTCGAAAATAATAAAAGATAATAACCATGTAGCACAGTGGGTTAAACCACTGAGCTGCTGAACTTGCTGACTGAAAGTTCGAATCCGGGGAGTGGGGTGAGSTCCCACTGTTAGCCCCAGCTTCTGCCAACCTAGCAGTTTGAAAACATGCAAATGTGAGTAGATCAATAGGTACCGCTTCGGTGGGAAGGCAACAGCGCTCCWTGTAATCATGCTGGCCACACAACCTTGGAGGCGTCTACATACAATGCCGGCTCTTCAGCCTAGAAATGGAGATGAGCACCACCCCCCAGAGCCAAACACGACTGGACTTCATGTCAGGGGAAACCTTTCCCTTTACCCTTAATAACAATGAACTTACAACAAAAGAGAAATTAACATCAAAATGAAACACAGAACATGAATAATCAAATAAACATAATTATACTAATAACATAATTGAAATCAGTCTTACCAACTAAAAAATAAATATGCCAAGTAGAAGACAATGGAATTGGAGGACCATTTGTCAGTAATACAGAATCTATGTTCAGTTCTTGCAAACAAAAAAGTGATACTGCTAAAAAAGATTTCTGCCTTGGATCTTGCAAAGTGAGTGGCCAAAATCCCAAGTGATGTAGTAGCATTGGCTGGAAAAGAAACTCCGTCCTATCCCCTTTCTGTTGTAAAAGCGCAAAACAGGCTTTGGGTGGTTTCCTAGTTCTCTTGACAAAGATTTTGGGCTGTACAAGGGATTGAAGTGAGAGCAGCTGTTTCCCCTTCATCCATCAGCTGAGTTCTGCTTTTCTACATTGGCTTGTGTTCACTTTTCGGAGTTGGCAATACTGAGTTTCATAGTACATTCTTTTTATAGCGTGTGAGACCAATTCAGAACATAATGGTATAGAGACTGTGGTAAACACTAGTGTGCTTTGTGAAGATGTACATTAAATGAGAAATGATTATGTCGGCTGTTCATAGCTATCATCTAGTGCAGTGGTTCTCAACCTGGGGTCCCCAGATATTTTTAGCCTACAACTCCCAGAAAACCCAGTCAGTTTACCAGCTGTTAGGATTTCTGGGAGTTGAAGGCCAAAAACATCTGGGGACCCCAGGTTGAGAACCACTGATCTAGTGAGTGTAAAATCCTTGAAAGTTATGTGGCACCTAGCCTTGAGCAGTAGCATATATTATATAACACTTTTAAAAAGTTGGATGAGAGCCCAAAGATACCATTGAAATCATTATTCTTACCTTTTTGGAAGATATGTCATTGGCATCTCTGAGACTTCTGAGTAAGCATGCCTGGTACTAGGTTTTACATGTGTTGCTCTAAGTATATAAAATATGGTGCAAAGTGGTCTACGAAAAACGAAACACGTGAATATAAGTAACCAAATTAATTTCGATAGAGAGAAGTAACTGCTCCTTTTATCTATCAATCTAAATAGGGGGCTTTCTTCAAAGCAGCTATGTTATCAGTGCTTTACCCTTTAATTGACTTTTAGCATGCTCTGGCTAACTTGGTTAGTAAGGTTATAAATATAAGTCAGCTGTTTACACTGCTTTATAAAGTAAAACAATGTAGACTGAGATATCATTCTCTTAAAGAAACTTGATTGTAGATTAGTTTGTAATTTTTGCCCTGCTTTCTGCAATTGGTTATCATGTCAGCAAAGAGGCTATTTTGATTAAAGTTGTTGGTATATTTATGTATTGTGGGGGAAAACCCATGTTAAGTCTACATGTTGCTTGTGTTTTCCCTCCAGCAATTCCAGTCAGAAGCTCCAGATTGCCATTGTTCTCTGATGCCATGCCAGCACCGACTCAACTATTGCTTCCATTAATTCGCAACTGTGAGATTGGCAGGATATACAATACTGCATGCTACTGTCACCATAAACATCTGTGTTGCTTGTCACCTCACCTGACTCACCAACACATGCGATATGCCCCACAGAAAAAGTTGGCAACGCTCTGCAGACCAAAGGAGAACTTCAGTCAGTTGATTCATGCAAGAAACTATGTCTCTACACCACAGAGATTTTACCTCACACCTCCACAGGTCAATAGCATCCTGAAAGCGAATGAGTACAGTTTTAAAGTTCCAGAGTTTGATGGCAAAAATGTAAGTTCTGTCCTTGGCTTTGATAGCAACCAGCTTCCTGCCAATGCACCAATAGAAGATCGAAGGAGTGCAGCCACTTGCTTGCAAACAAGAGGGATGCTACTTGGAGTGTTTGATGGCCATGCAGGATGTGCTTGTGCACAAGCTGTCAGTGAAAGACTGTTTTATTACATAGCTGTTTCTCTGTTACCCCATGAGACTTTACTTGAAATAGAAAATGCTGTTGAGAGTGGTAGAGCACTGCTGCCCATCTTACAGTGGCACAAGCATCCGAATGACTATTTTAGTAAAGAAGCCTCCAAATTGTATTTTAACAGCTTGCGAACATACTGGCAGGAGCTCATAGATCTTAATACTGGAGAGACAACTGACGTTAAGGAGGCTTTAATTAATGCCTTTAAGCGGCTTGACAATGACATTTCTTTGGAAGCTCAAGTAGGAGATCCAAATTCTTTCCTCAATTATTTGGTATTGCGTGTAGCTTTTTCTGGTGCAACTGCCTGTGTGGCTCATGTAGATGGTGTTGATTTGCATGTTGCCAATACAGGTGACAGCAGGGCCATGCTTGGTGTCCAAGAAGAGGATGGAACTTGGTCTGCTGTTGCTCTGTCTCATGATCATAATGCACAGAATGAAAGTGAGATTGAACGGTTGAAAGTAGAGCATCCAAAGTCTGAAGAAAAGAGTGTTGTGAAACAGGATCGGTTGTTAGGTCTGCTGATGCCTTTCAGAGCTTTTGGAGATGTCAAATTTAAATGGAGCATTGACCTTCAGAAGAGAGTGGTAGAGTCAGGCCCAGATCAGCTTAATGACAATGAATATACAAAGTTCATCCCACCAAACTACCATACTCCTCCATACCTCACAGCTGAGCCAGAGGTAATATATCACAAATTAAGACCTCAGGACAAATTCCTGATATTGGCAACGGATGGCTTGTGGGAAACAATGCACAGGCAGGATGTGGTTCGAATTGTTGGTGAATATCTAACTGGTGTCCATCACCAACAGCCAATAGCTGTTGGAGGTTACAAAGTAACTCTGGGACAGATGCATGGTCTTTTAACAGAAAGGAGAGCTCGGGTCTCTTCAGCCTACGAAGATCAGAATGCAGCAACACACTTGATACGCCATGCTGTGGGAAACAATGAGTTTGGCACAGTTGACCATGACCGGCTATCCAAGATGCTCAGTCTTCCAGAAGAGTTGGCTCGGATGTACAGGGATGATATCACAATTATAGTAGTGCAGTTCAATTCCCATGTTGTAGGTGCATGTCAGAATGAAGAGTTCTAAATTTTAAGCCAAGGAACGAAAATTTTCACAGAACAAAATGGCCAGTAATGAACATAGGATTGTAACAAGTGCATTCACTTAATGTCTGGCCATTGGACTTTGAGCTAGAGCAAATATAATTTGCAAAAGCCCAAGAGAGGAGTCAGAGGGTTATTAACTAATTTATTATTAGGAGACCTGAACAATTTAGAACAACTTTGCACTAAACTATTTCCTGGGACAGTGTCTTGCGATATGAAATTACTTGGTGGAAGTGAAAACTTCACATACATCAGTGTGATGTCATGCAGGGCAAAATTCTTGTATATGTTGCCACGTGTACATATCTGTATAAGTAGGTGTCTAGTAGCAATACCAAACATTGGGTGGGGTCTTCATTGTAAATCTAAATTTCAACTGAGCTGATGACTTTTATATTTATGAGATAGCTTTTCTGTCACCTCTTCAGGAGCAGAACAGAAGTTTATAACAAGTTGGTGAATGTTTTGCTATAATACTTAGCTACTCTCTTTTGAGTATCTCAGTTGAAATACGTACCTTAAAAAGTAGTAAAGTGGTAAGTCTTAAGCCATAAATGTCACAATCCTTAAATTTTAGAATGAATCTTGCATCAAATGATTAATTCACTCTATTTGCACAGTTCAGAGGCAATAAATGATGGGACCTTTAACCGAGGGAAGTGCAAAAAACCTTTGGCTTGCATTATGAAATTGTGACTATCTTTTCTGAAATATGGTTTAGTCTTCAATCAGACTGTATTTCAAAGCATTGTACTCTTTGCAAGCAACAGTCCTGGTGTGTACCAAATCTGTTTCCAGTCATTAGTCTTTGGTCTTGTGTTAAATCTTGGCAGACAGTACTGACTTTGTAAACTAGTGCAGTCACATATGTTGAACTAAAGTTTGATCTTGTGTTCTGGATGTTTCAAATATAACAAGATGAAAACATCTATATGACTCTGTCTAGTTTGGTTCCCATGGTGACTACTGAAAAAATCAATGTAATAAGATTTGTAAATAGGTAAAGTAAGAGGGACAGTATGCATGCTGTATGCTTAAACCTCTTGTTGAAATTGCGGTATCAAATGTAATATGTATTTTCTAAATCTCTCTTCCAGTGTGAACAGTCACTTAGACCTAAAACCTTCTCCTAAAACTGCATGTCTCAGTGCTTTAGATCTCTACTGAACACAATGCATATTTAAATTGTTAGACAAATTAAAACATTTTCATGACTATCAGTTTTCAATGTTCGTAAACAATTGAATTTGAAGACTTCCCATATTTTAAACAAAATTAATTTATTCTTGAACAAGTGGGTGTAATTCAAATTTTGCTTAGTATTTTACCACTAGCTTTCATCTAGTTGTGAAACACAGGTTGAAGAACCTTAAAATCCAGTGTGTTTCTCTGTACAGACACCATATGAGCATTCCATTTAAATGGCAACACACATGTAATCAATTTCTGAGCTAAAAGGTTCAAAAGAATTTCAATATTCTTGGCAATGTAGTTTTTTTATAGAGCACCAAGGAGTACTGTACTATATATGTTGTTATGTTTATGGTACATGTTTGTTAGCATTAATGCCCCTTTTCTGTACATCAAAAGTCACAGTTGTCTAACTTATTGAAATGCAATTATTGAGAATAGATGATTACACCAACATCCTGACATAGGGCACTTTTACTTTATAATATATTTATCTGTTTGGAAATCCTACAGTGTTTGAAGCCCTATCTGGAGCCTTAATAAAAATGGCGGTCTTCCCTTTCTGTGTTCAAGGAAAGTCATAATTTTATCTTTGCCTGTAATCGCACACCTAAATTCTTAATATATTTGTGACAAAACTGGATAGGTCAAATTTTGTTTTTATTTTTTTTTATTTGTTTAGATACCTACAAAATAGAACTGTTACATTATTCAGGCTTCCTTGCTATTTTTACTTGTGGAGTGTATAGTACATGTAAATGTTTCATTTTGGTATGGCACTAGTCTTAACAAATTAAGCTCTGATTCTGACTTTGTAAAATAAAAGGTGAACAAGCAGGATTTGAAGACAGACTCACAAAATATGTATTTGGGGAAATGAAATGTTTATGATATTATGGCTTTCTGAACATCAAGTGATACAATCTAAGAACAAGTTTCTTTTAGTAGACTTCAATAAAATTATTACTATACAAACACCTATGTATTCGAGTTGTTTATGGCACTAATTGATGCGTCTTGTCAATTGCTGAAATGTCTGTGGGCATGTGTCAAATGAGACCAAAAAGCTATAAACCTTATATTTTAATGTCAAAATTAAAGTTCATCTGGTGATATGGAGCAGAGTCCACAAAAGTTTGCATTGAACTATACCAGCTAATCTCAAATGTGCTGCTAGATCCTTCCTCTCATTCCCCTTCCTCCTTATGCTGAACTAGACTAGCATGGCTCTCCTTGAAAAATTAATGCGTGGCATTGTGAAAATGGTCTGTCTCAAGTCAGTTTTGTAGCTGAATGAATGGACAGAACTGGGGTTTAAATATGCCATCTTTCCTTGCCTCGTCTATTGTTTCAGCTTTTTTGTTATTACGTCATAGATAGAATTTTAAACTCTCTGTTTATGTATTTTCTTCTAGTATAATAGATTAAAGCACATCTTTTTTCCAGGGGGGCATTGTGTTCTCTGGGACTAAACAAAGCAGGCCCTATAGCAAACTCTGCTGTGTAACAAACAAACAAAAATTTGAACTGGAGCAAAATGTGCTGTGTAACCATGTCCTCATTTTTCACTCCATTTTTGTACAAACTTCTACCAACTCTCATGCCAATTATAAAGTCCAAGCACCAATACATACATATATACTTACTTTAAAGTAAGTATATATGTATGTATTGTTGAAGGCTTTCATGACCAGAGTCACTAAGGTCTTGTGTGGTTTTGTGGCTGTAAGGCTGAAGATGCAAGCGAAATGTCAGAAGAAAATGCTGCTGGAACATGCTCATACAAATTTCTCAGATAAGGTTATGATTTCTTGTGGATGAGCAAATAACGACTGGTATATGGCATATGTTCGGTATCTCAAAAGCAAGCTGATAAAGGGAAATTGGTGCCTTTTGTGGAATCAGCAGATCAAATACACACTGAAACAGGTCTGACATTTGAGGCATAAAAATGTGCATTGCCCAGAGTTATACAACTAAATGTGTGGTTATTTTATTTTAGTTATGAGTGATCTGCAGTCTACTGTAGTTTGCTTTGTTTTGTGTGCATTCACATTATTGTTTGATTTAAAATAAAATGGCTTGGTTAACAAGCTCTGGTAGCTTCATGGTTTCCTGGCCTCTCCTTTTAGAAGGATAAATGTGTCATATTTCAGTCATGTTTTCAAAACAAGTGTACACTGAGGGAGGGTGTGTGTGTGTATAGATATACACACACAATATGTGAATTGAGTTCCAGCCTGACCTCAAGGAACACTTGTTGAATCTACTAGAGTATTGACCTTAAATAACCTTGTGTGTTTATATAGCTTCATACTCCAGTAATTTGCTTCTTGACTTTTCAAAGAGGAGATAGTGAGATTAGTAAGCTAAATGCCAGAAGGCATCTAATTTTACCAAGGCTCCCAGTGACGGTATTTTGTGTGGCTGCCAGACAGCTCTCTTTCATGGGGTGAGGGGAATCTGAAAAGCCTCTCCGTTTACAGAACGATAAGTCTCCCTGTGAGGAGAATTGATATTAAGCAAGGTTGATCATATGCAAGGCTGACTGTGGAGAGAATTTATTTCAAAGCATGATTAAATTACATTGGGTCCATTCAGTTATAAATCAGGGTCAGTGCTTTGCATTAATTACACCATGCACAGTATTGATGCCTAGAGGAAAATGGGGGAGTTGAGATTTCCCCTATTTCCTTCACTTCCCCTTTATCAAGATGCACTTTCGAAAGCTGCTTTCCCTCAGAAAATTAGCTGTTTATATTTTGGGGCTGTTCTGTGGTCAAAATGTCGCTGTACTCATACCATGACATTTCATAAGAGTACACTTGGTTGATCTGTTAAATTTCTTGGATAATAAACCTAAATTATATATGAGCTAAAAATATGAGAGTGAATGCTAGTAGTTTTTTCCCTTCCTTTCATCTACCCTTTAGCAAGCGCATCAGATGACATAAAAGCTCAAGTTGTAGCTAAGTCAACAATGCTATGTGTTGTGACAACCAGGAATTGAATTATTGTTTTATGTAAGCTAAACTTCACTACAGGCTAGCTCCCTTTATGAGTAATAATGAAAACATTATGGAGGAAATGGCATTTCCCCTCTAGCATTATAGCTCTTGTGATGGAATATACCATGTTGAAGGAAAAAGCATTGTATTTTTAAAGTAAAATGACTAACCAGAAAGCATGGGGCTCTATTTATGCCTTTCATTAAGAGGAACACTCCGCCATTCCCTGCATTACTGTAAAGTGCAAAACAGGGTGGAGCAGGAGAAAGTCATTTGCTTTTCATTTAACACATGCTGGTACTTAAGAATTCTGCTTCTCTAAATCTGGGCTCTGCCTCACTTACACCTGAACTTACTCAGCCATCTAACTATATCTAAAGTATCATGGAGCCCTACAACCTTCAGATGGGCACCTTTGAGTTCTGTTAGTCTCTTGTAACATAAAAAAGGGGGTGGGGGAGAAATATGACAGCACCTTTAAGACCTAACTGGTTTTTACTTTAACATAAGCTTATCCATGAAATGTTGGTGTATCACATCCCCCCCCCCCCCCACACCTCTACTTCCTTCTTTTTGAGTCTGCCAACTAGTATAAGGCTATCTTAGCCAAGAAATACACAGATGTGATTTTTTCAGTTCCTTCCTCTGATATATAACTCACAGCAATTGCCATTTGTTAAATGGTCTTCCATCCAAATATTAACCAGGACTGATCCCACTTCTCTTCCAAGATCAGAAAAGATCTGGTGCTTTTTAAAAGGCATTTAAGCCTTTGTGAACCTACATCTTCACATTTCTATATGTTTTTCCTCTTTGGTTTAACTAGCAAGATACTATCAGCTGACCTTCACTGTAATTTTATTGTTAATGTTCTCCTGATAGCAATCACAATGTTTGAAGTTTCTTTGACATCACAGCAGCTCCAGGGTAGGAGAAATTGCTGCTTTATTTATAATATTTAAATAAATACGACTTTTACCTTTCAGATCCAGTCTGATCTTAGGATCAGCCATAGTTAGTACTTAGAAAGAAGACTGCCAATGAATACCAGGTTTTGCCAGAAAGAAACTGGCAAAACCAGCTCAGAGTATTCTTTGTCTAAGAAAACCCTATGAAATTCATGAGGTCTCAAGAAGTCAACAGGCAACTTGAAGGCACGTGGATATATGCATAAGTATCTGTGTGTGTGTGTGTATCTACACTTGGGACTATGGAGGAAAAACAATCAAAGCTTGTGCCCTCTTCAACATGACATCCTTTCAAATATTTAAACATGGCTATCATGTCCCCTCTCAGCCTTCTCTTCTCTGAGCTAACTATGCCTTGCTTCCTAAGCCACTTCTCATAGAACTTGGTTTCCAAACCTTTGATCATTTTGGTCAGCCTTTTCTGGACATGTTTTAGTTTGTCAATCACTATCCTTTTGGACTCATGGTGCCCAGAACCTGTTACAGTATTCCAGGTGAAGCCTAAGTAAAGGAAACTAGAGTGGTACTATTACTTCCTTTGATCCACACACTATACTCCTAGAATCAAATTGGGGTTTTTGCTGCCGCATCATGCTGTTACCCCATATCCAACTTTTGGTCTACTAGAAGTTCCTTTGACCTGCATTCCTCCCATCCCCACCCAAACAGCCTGGGCTGGCTGCTGCTTCTTATGATCTCTTGCCACCTGCAAGAACATTATCCCCTGATTTTTGTTTGTTTATCCTTTAAAGTTACCTTTTTGGACTACAACTCCTATGATCTGATATCTGCTGTGGCAGCTCAAGGTTATTTCCAAACTTCAGTGCTGAATAATAGATTAAGGCAAGTGAGCTGCCATTGACACTTCTTTTAAGATATTCTTTACTGCCTTCCTGCCACTTGAGTTGCTTTTCATCACAGATGCTGGCTGGCACCTAGCTGATACTCATAACTTTATTTTATCTCATTCATTTTGCTAAATGTGCATTGTTATTTCAAGTGTCTCCTATCCACCCATCAAGTGCATGCAGACTCACCAACTGTATTACAACACAGATTTCGAGAGCCTGTATATTGTTTCCTATTACAACATCTGTCAAAACTTCCTGATGTTAAGCATAGAGGGAAAAATTAAGAGGCTTTTGAAATAATAGAAGTCTTTGCCAATTGATCAAGTGTAGAGATTTGTAGAAGGGTTGCAAGCCCTCACTTTAAGGAATTAATCTATCTTGAAGAATGGTAATAAGAATTTTTTGAAATTTAATAAGCAGCTTCTATCAGGACACCTATCCAACCTTATGTTAAAATGGCAGTAACAGCATATTAGCAAACATATTTCAGTATCAAATACATTCCTTAGTAGTACAGTATATCGTTTCTAATTGAAATTTCTCCTTAGAATTTCTTGAAATCAATTCTGAATTTTCTCTAGAAGCAAAAATTGATTTGATCAAAGTTATCATATTGTGGATGTAACATGGCAAGATATTATTATTATTATTATTATTATTATTATTATTATTATATATATATTTATATCCCGCTTTTTCTCTCCCAAAGGAGACTGAAAGTGGCATGACGTAAAAGCATTAGCATGCAATTTAAAATATACAAATATGCAAACATTAAAACAGAATTAAATATAAACTGCATTTAAAAATCCACAGTTAAAAACCATTTAAACCTATTCAAAATTAAAAACAAAACATTCATTACAAAATATGAGAATGCTTGGTAAAGAGGAAAGTGGTAAGAAAGTAAGTAGAAAGCCACAATACAAGTAGATAGACCTAGTGAAGGAAGCGACAACCTTTAATATCCAGGACCTTAACATGGTACCTGAAGGTCTCTCATTCATAAGGTTACTATAAGTGAAAGCAGATTTGATGGTATTAGCAACATATACAGGCAGATCCCAAGTTATGAACAAGATAGGTTCTGTAGGTTGGTTCTTAAGCTGAATTTGTATGTAAGTTAGAACAGATACATTTGTAAGTGCAA